TACCTCAATCGGATACCCGAGTCAAAAGTTATGGCCTTATAAAGTTTTACGGTTAAACTATTAATTTTTTGTGCCACGTGTCAACACCAGACGAGTCACGCCTAATTTAGGCGTGAATGCCTTGGGAGTCACGCCTAACTTAGGCGTGAATAGTCACGCCTAATTTGGGCGTGAATGAATGCAATAGATCCGTAGATAATTTCGAAACAGCTATGTATTCGTAATTATTTATTAAAATAGTAATATTTTAATTTTTTTGCCAAATAATTACACATTTATTGCACAATATCACGTCCAACTTGGATGTCACCAATCACGCTTAAATTGGGCGTCACTCATCAGGTGTTGACACGTGTCACATTAAAAAATTGGGCCAGAGGATAAGCCAAAAATCTTCGGTTGGGGGATTAGTCTCGTCCTTTCTCCGGTTGCGAAGCTTAGTGCACCCACTGTTACAATGAGGGGCTAGCCCAAACGGGCCGTACCCCGAGGGCATGGTGCCCGAAGAAGGTTGAATGGGGATACCTCCTGGCAATGTACCCAAAAAAAAAAAAAAAAATATTAACAATTTAATCGTAAAACTTCTGAAGGCTGTAACTTTTGACCCGGGTATCCAAATCAGGTAATTCTTTTTTTGATTCCACATAACTTTTCGAGATCTACACAATGACATCTCATTTGACATATTTTATTTCTCACGAACACAATTTAAATTTGCAAGAATGGTATTATAAGAGCGGTTAAACCCAGAAGCCTCTGAGTTCTGGGTTTGTGATTTAATATAAATAAATAAATAAAGATTTGATTTGTGATTTAAACTCAAAAATCAATTTGAAAAATCTGTATTAATAAAGAAAATAATTAAATAAATATTCTAAATCTCTATGGAAGAAGGATTTTATTTTTGAAATTAATGATTAATGCTATAAGCTTCTGGGTTATTATTCGTAGTCTGAAATTAATGATGGCTTATGAATATTTTTTTAAAAAAAATCCTTCTTCCTTAGAAATTTAGAATATTTATTTAATTATTTCCTTTATTAATACAGATTTTTCAAATTAATTTTTGAGTTTAAATCACAAATCAAATCTTTATTTTGTTTTCCTTTTTAATAATAATTTTTAATTTTATTTTTAATTTAAATCACAATCCAAATCTTTATTTATATTTTTATATTAAATCACAAACCCAGAACTCATAGGCTTCTGGGTTTAACCGCTCTTAAAATACCATTCTTGCAAATTTAAATTGTGTTTGTGAGAAATAAAATATGTCAAATGAGAAGTCATTGCGTAGATCTCGAAAAGTTATGTGGAATCAAAACAAGAATTACTTGATTTGGATACCTGAGTCAAAAGTTATGGATTTTAGAAGTTTTACGATTAAATTGTTAAATTTTTTTTTGGAAAACAAAAATGACACGTGTCAACACCTGATGAGTGGCACCTAAATTAGGCGTGATTGCCTCTTGAGTGACGCCCAATTTAGGCGTGATTGGTGATGCTCAACTTGGGCGTGATATTGTGCAATAAATGTGTAATTATTTCCAAAACAGCTATAAATTTGTAATTTTTTATTTAAAAAAATAAATTAATTTTTTTACCCATATGTAGCACAAAAAATGGCAAATACATATTAAAAAAATATATTTATTATTTACATACATACATATATATTAATAATCAATAAATAGTTACAAAATTTATTAAAAAATTAATATAACCAATTAGTTTTATGCATAATATAATTATTTTATTTCAAAATATTAATTTAAAACATTTTTTTTAGTTTATTAACCTATGTAAATACCCAACCTTCCGTGATTTTACAAAATAACAAGGCTAGCCTGATAAATTGATAATATACTTGGTTTATTGTACCACAATAAGTATAGTAGACAATTACATACTCACATACAATGTCTCGTCAATTTTACATGCCAAGGAAATTAAAGAGTGTTTCTGGTGCTAACCTTAATAAAAGGAATTTTTCAAGATACAGCTTTTAAAAAAAGTATTATAATTTATTCCTCCGTTTAAATAATTAAAAAATATTACTTATATTTTTTACTTTTATCCTTCTCTCTTAAAATTCTCATTAAATAAAATGTAAAAGAAAAATAATGAAGAAGTTATAATATTCCAAATATTTTGGCAAATATTAATTTAATCAAAGACAACAAGATTTTTCGGAATTAAAGCTTAAATAATAAACTGTTGGAGACGTTATGGCTATTGGAGATATTATGACCGTTGGAGAATAATTTCAGTTATTGTAACTTTCATGTTTCCCGAACTTATAAATAAGGTATCATTGTAGTGTGACAACACAACAAAAATACATTTTCTTATCTCTCTTTTTCTATTCTTCTTCTAATTCTTATTAATTTTACAACATCTTATCAGCACGATTCCGCTCACATGAAGATTCCTTTAGCATAATTCTTCTAGCGTATTGGATTTTTGGATATAAAAAGCCTAAAAGGAAAAGGTTAGATTTTCAAATAACTATGGAGAAAGAGAAAGGTTAGTAACCCAATTTTTAATCTCATTTATATAAAATAATGAATTCTAAAAAGACACTACTGGTGATCGCATGCACAATGCTCTGAATCTCCTAAACTTCATTGATTTTTTTTTTTTTTAATTTGTTACATTGGTAATGACTATTATGATGAGCATAAAAAGAAAATGAAACATAGAAGCTCTAAAGCACAGACTCGTTCATTTTTTAAAAATGTGCGTGTCGGACACGTGTCCGACACGGACACGCGTCCGACACGGACACGCGTCCGACACGGACACGCGTCCGACATTTTGGGACACATGGTCAATTTTCTGACACGCTCCGACACGTTTTTTCGACACGTGATCAACGCTCCGACACGTTTTTTTTAGTCTTAATTTTATTTTATTAACTAAAAATAAAAAAAATAATACGTTTTTTTTAAGTCTTAATTTTATTTTATTAATTAAAAATAAAAAAATCATTTATAAATCAATTTTTTTCTGTTATGAAATTTGACAAGTTTTGTTTGGAAAGAAATGTAAGAAAAGGAAATGATTGTGATTGTGATTTGATTTGTTTGGAAAGAAAAAGAAAGAAAAGGAAAAGGAAGTTGTGATTGTGATTGTCAATTTTACATGCCAAGTCCCAGTATAGCAGCAGATGTGATTGTGATTTGTTTGGAAAGAAAAGGAAAGCAACATATCTGATGTGATCTGAGATTAAAGATTTGAGAAGTATTTTGAATTATTTATTTGTAATATTTTATTTATTTTTAGATGTTAATTAATGTTATATTTATTTTAGGAAGTTTTATTATTGTTAGAATTTTAGATTTTAAATTTTGAATCAATTTATAATGGGAAAAATGTTCTCTGCAGATAATTATCTGCATTTATTTTCAAAACAACGTCGTTTTGGTATTGAAATTTTAAAAAATTTAAATATAAAGACTATTATAACCCTGAAATAAATTAAAATTACAAAAATATCATGATTTCCGCCCCAAAACGACGTCATATTGGGCTTACTGCAGATAAATTATCTGCATTAACTGCAGAAAAAGTAAACCCATTTATAATTAGTCTATAAAAAGGTGCTTACGACCCTTATTATAGGAGTTGAATATTATTATTTTGTTAATTGAAATTGAGAAGTTACTCTTTTGTGCAATCCCAATAGCCACTTTTCTATTGCGCTTGTATCCTTTTTTGTTCAATATGACTTCAATGACACCACTAGTTCCTTCCCCTTCTTCAGGTATACATATATATTTGATCGAGTTTCTTGTGGTCTTCATTCTTCAATTATATTCTTTTTATAATACTCAGTTTTCATCAATCTATTGTCAAGTCAAGGTTGTTTTGTGGTCTTTGAGGAGGAAGTTGGTTCCTTTTTGTGTCCACTCCTCTTCATTTGAGTTTGTAAAGCATTTGCCACTTTTGCACATCTTAAAAGAGGTTACCTTGGGCAGGAAACATATGTGCTTCAACGATTGTAGCAATTGTAGCAATTGTTGTCCCAAATGTTATTTTGGTGGCGCTTTTGGTTCTAGGCTGTTGCTGTTGCTGGAGAAGAAGGCGAAACAAAAACCATGATGCAGATCTAGAAATGGGAGATAGCAGTAATTGTTATTGCTCTTACTATTTATCTATTTCAAAGCACGAACAATAGCATGCTAGTAATTTTGCTTAACTTACTTTTTACCGCAGCTAGGAATTATTTTACTTGTCAAGAAGAGTCTTTGCATTTTGACTTGGCTACAATTGAAGCTGCAACAAATAGGTTCTCGAATGAGAAGAAGATAGGCCAAGGTGGATTTGGTGTGGTTTATAAGGTAAAAAGAAATTATAAGGAAACATGTTGTCATGCTCGTATGCTAATTTATGCTGACTGGAGCTATTCTAATCTCATGCATGTTTTCAGGGTACCCTTCCTAATGGACAAGAGATAGCTGCAAAGAGGCTATCCAGAAGCTCCTTGCAGGGTGACATAGAATTCAGGAACGAGGCTGCACTTGTTGCACTTCAACATAGAAATTTAGTTAGGCTTTTAGGATTTTGCTTGGAGGGAGGAGCAGAGAGGATACTTGTTTACGAATTCATCCCCAATTCAAGCCTTGACCGCTTTCTATGTGGTTTGTAATTTTTGGACTCTCTTGTTCTGGTTTGGTTTTTAATGTTATTGTATGAACTAATTCTTCTACAGAACTCAATTTATTGCTAACTTGAATATTACAATTTGACTAATTTGTAGATCATGAGAACCAAGCAGAGCTTGATTGGGCAACACGTTACCAAATTATAGTTGGGATTGCTGGAGGAGTTAAATACCTCCATGAAGATTCTAGTCTTAGAATAATACATCGCGATCTCAAGGCTAGTAATGTCCTATTAGATGACGAAATGAATCCAAAGATTTCAGATTTTGGCATGGCAAAGATTTTCCATGGAGACCAAAGTCAAGTTGACTCTACAATGGCCTTTATAACTTACTAAGTTCCAACTATCCTTTCTGTTGTAGAGTCAACTTGACTTTGGTCTCCATGGAAAATCTTTGCCATGCCAAAATCTGAAATCTTTGGATTCATTTCGTCATCTAATAGGACATTACTAGCCTTGAGATCGCGATGTATTATTCTAAGACTAGAATCTTCATGGAGGTATTTAACTCCTCCAGCAATCCCAACTATAATTTGGTAACGTGTTGCCCAATCAAGCTCTGCTTGGTTCTCATGATCTACAAATTAGTCAAATTGTAATATTCAAGTTAGCAATAAATTGAGTTCTGTAGAAGAATTAGTTCATACAATAACATTAAAAACCAAACCAGAACAAGAGAGTCCAAAAATTACAAACCACATAGAAAGCGGTCAAGGCTTGAATTGGGGATGAATTCGTAAACAAGTATCCTCTCTGCTCCCTCCAAGCAAAATCCTAACTAAATTTCTATGTTGAAGTGCAACAAGTGCAGCCTCGTTCCTGAATTCTATGTCACCCTGCAAGGAGCTTCTGTATAGCCTCTTTGCAGCTATCTCTTGTCCATTAGGAAGGGTACCCTGAAAACATGCATGAGATTAGAATAGCTCCAGTCAGCATAAATTAGCATACGAGCATGACAACATGTTTCCTTATAATTTCTTTTTACCTTATAAACCACACCAAATCCACCTTGGCCTATCTTCTTCTCATTCGAGAACCTATTTGTTGCAGCTTCAATTGTAGCCAAGTCAAAATGCAAAGACTCTTCTTGACAAGTAAAATAATTCCTAGCTGAGGTAAAAAGTAAGTTAAGCAAAATTACTAGCATGCTATTGTTCGTGCTTTGAAATAGATAAATAGTAAGAGCAAAAACAATTACTGCTATCTCCCATTTCTAGATCTGCATCATGGTTTTTGTTTCGCCTTCTTCTCCAGCAACAGCAACAGCCTAGAACCAAAAGCGCCACCAAAATAACATTTGGGACAACAATTGCTACAATTGCTACAATCGTTGAAGCACATATGTTTCCTGCCCAAGGTAACCTCTTTTAAGATGTGCAAAAGTGGCAAATGCTTTACAAACTCAAATGAAGAGGAGTGGACACAAAAAGGAACCAACTTCCTCCTCAAAGACCACAAAACAACCTTGACTTGACAATAGATTGATGAAAACTGAGTATTATAAAAAGAATATAATTGAAGAATGAAGACCACAAGAAACTCGATCAAATATATATGTATACCTGAAGAAGGGGAAGGAACTAGTGGTGTCATTGAAGTCATATTGAACAAAAAAGGATACAAGCGCAATAGAAAAGTGGCTATTGGGATTGCACAAAAGAGTAACTTCTCAATTTCAATTAACAAAATAATAATATTCAACTCCTATAATAAGGGTCGTAAGCACCTTTTTATAGACTAATTATAAATGGGTTTACTTTTTCTGCAGTTAATGCAGATAATTTATCTGCAGTAAGCCCAATATGACGTCGTTTTGGGGCGGAAATCATGATATTTTTGTAATTTTAATTTATTTCAGGGTTATAATAGTCTTTATATTTAAATTTTTTAAAATTTCAATACCAAAACGACGTTGTTTTGAAAATAAATGCAGATAATTATCTGCATTAACTGCAGAGAACATTTTTCCCATTATAAATTGATTCAAAATTTAAAATCTAAAATTCTAACAATAATAAAACTTCCTAAAATAAATATAACATTAATTAACATCTAAAAATAAATAAAATATTACAAATAAATAATTCAAAATACTTCTCAAATCTTTAATCTCAGATCACATCAGATATGTTGCTTTCCTTTTCTTTCCAAACAAATCACAATCACATCTGCTGCTATACTGGGACTTGGCATGTAAAATTGACAATCACAATCACAACTTCCTTTTCCTTTTCTTTCTTTTTCTTTCCAAACAAATCACAATCACAATCACAATCACAATCACAATCATTTCCTTTTCTTACATTTCTTTCCAAACAAAACTTGTCAAATTTCATAACAGAAAAAAATTGATTTATAAATGATTTTTTTATTTTTAATTAATAAAATAAAATTAAGACTTAAAAAAAACGTATTATTTTTTTTATTTTTAGTTAATAAAATAAAATTAAGACTAAAAAAAACGTGTCGGAGCGTTGATCACGTGTCGAAAAAACGTGTCGGAGCGTGTCAGAAAATTGACCACGTGTCCCAAAATGTTGATCGCGTGTCCGTGTCCGTGTCCGACGCGTGTCCGCGTGTCGGACACGTGTCTGACACGTGTCTGACACGCACATTTTTCAAAAATGAACGAGTCTGTGCTTTAGAGCTTCTATGTTTCATTTTCTTTTTATGCTCATCATAATAGTCATTACCAATGTAACAAATTAAAAAAAAAATCAATGAAGTTTAGGAGATTCAGAGCATTGTGCATGCCATTGTCATGCGATCACCAGTAGTGTCTTTTTAGAATTCATTATTTTATATAAATGAGATTAAAAATTGGGTTACTAACCTTTCTCTTTCTCCATAGTTATTTGAAAATCTAACCTTTTCCTTTTAGGCTTTTTATATCCAAAAATCCAATACGCTAGAAGAATTATGCTAAAGGAATCTTCATGTGAGCGGAATCGTGCTGATAAGATGTTGTAAAATTAATAAGAATTAGAAGAAGAATAGAAAAAGAGAGATAAGAAAATGTATTTTTGTTGTGTTGTCACACTACAATGATACCTTATTTATAAGTTCGGGAAACATGAAAGTTACAATAACTGAAATTATTCTCCAACGGTCATAATATCTCCAATAGCCATAACGTCTCCAACAGTTTATTATTTAAGCTTTAATTCCAAAAAATCTTGTTGTCTTTGATTAAATTAATATTTGCCAAAATATTTGGAATATTATAACTTCTTCATTATTTTTCTTTTACATTTTATTTAATGAGAATTTTAAATACTTTAAGACGTATGTCATACCTTGTTCGTGAAAACTTAAGATGATCAAGGTAGGTCTGAAGGGTTCAGACCCTCTAACGTTGATCCACACCACCCGCGTCTAGATACAGGAACTCCTTCCAGTAAAGCCGCCGACTGATCACCACAATAAGGCTTGCTATGCACTCAATGTGTGATGAAAGGAGACTATGTAAAAGTGTTTAGAAGAGTGAAGTTTTCAGAGAGAAAACCTCACAAAAGTGGCGCAGGAATAAGGAGAGAATGGCTTAGGCCTTTTACAAAACCCTAGGAGGAACATATATACTATTAGGCGCACAAGTAGTGATCAAGAGATTCATGATGCAATCAGATTTTTGATCCTCAAAATCCCTTCAAAAGGGCGCACCAACAAGGAGAAACAAGAGGATTTGTTGCAAATCAAATCTTATCAAATCTTGCCAACAACATCCTATCATATCTTTATGATATTAGGTTCAAAGCCTAATCAAATATTTGATCATATATCATCATATATTCAGCTATATGGTGCGCCCCATATAGCCTAAATAATGACCAGATACATTTGAGTAGTTGCATTCAAACTTGAATCAAATCACTCAAATATTCTCCCAACAGATCGTATCTTCTGGAGCTGATTCTGATGACTAACCAACAGCCAAATCAGCACCCCAAATCTTCTTAGATTATGTCCAAAAGATTTCCTCTTGATATGTTCCAACAAGATCTCATCTTATCCTTTTGTTATGAAACAACTTTTCATAGCCAATTCAAATTCGAATATCAAACATTTGAATTCAAACTTTCAAACACTTAAATTTTAAATTCAAATTCAAATTCTAAATTCAAATTCAAATTTCAAAATTCAAATTTCAAATTTCAAAATTCAAATTCAAAATTCAAATTTCAAAATTCAAAATTCAAATATCAAATTTCAAATTTCAGATTCAAAATTCAAAATTCGAATTTCAAAGTTCAAATTCAAAATTCAAATTTCAAAATTCAAATTCAAAATTCAAAATTTCAACATTTGATAATTAATTTAACTAATTAAATTAATTAGTAATGTCTTGGACTATCCAAGCCCATTACTTAGATCCATGCGCCCTCCACCCTATCTGTGGAGTTCCAAACTACTTCTTGCGCTAATAACAATTGTTAGGCCCAATACCATTAATGCTAGAGCATCTAGACAATTAGGTGTTAGTGTGTGACCCATTAGGTCCAACATAGCTACTGACATAAATGGGCTTGGGCCCAATAAGCCCACAACCCATCTAATGACAACACAGAGCACTAGCAATGCTTTGTTGCCCCAGAACTAGTTAGATTAGTGACTTGATCATCCTATTACACATATTTGGTTGCCGTATATATTTCCTTTCGTCTCGGTTACCTTCCCATAAAACCTAGGGTAAGGAAGAGTATCAACCCCTGCGGTTTAGGGTAAGCTTTATTCAAAATAGGGAATCTTCAATTTACAGACTCTAAAGGCAGATCATCTCATGATCTCTTTTACTATGCATAGATTCCCGAGTCCCTGTAAATGTCATCCCGATTTCTCCGGTTTACAGATAACCTAATCTCTCACAAAGATTTGACGAATTCCTTCAGCTTATCACCCTAGCCCTGTGTTCTTTCAGGACAAGCCCAACAGTATACCTATGAGTCTCCATGTTTCAGGCAGACGAGGTGCACAATCAAAGCATGCCTTCTAGAACACAGTCTAGGTAATAACTTCTGGTCTTAGGAAAGACATACCCGAATATAAAGAGACTACTCTAATGATACTCTCTGTGAGAGTTCCTCATAGAGTCTCTTTGTGGGTCTGTTCAGTGCGAGCTATACCCTTATAGGTCCACCCACGACTTTAGCTAAGACATCTCCATATCTGTAGCACATGAGGTCTATACCTTGTATCCATATACAAGTAGATAAGTCGTGCTAGTCTTCCGAGATCACTGACCCCATTCTCAGTATCTCTAGACTAGGAACATAAAATTAGGAATAAACATCCGGTATTCTTGAATCCTCATGATTGTGATCTCATCACAGATACTCAAGAGATACCTATTTTATTCCACGGGGTTTATCAAGTTATTCATAATATATTAACATTAATATCGAGACAGAATTATGAAACAAGATAAAGAGTGCTTTTATTTATTTTCGACAATATTAAAAAGGTCTACATCTATGTCCTTATTTAATCATAAGATTGTCTCTAGGACACCCAAATACTAACACATGATTGTTGAAAAGATGCATGTTTTATCAATATTTTGTTGCTCCACATTAGCTTGGATTTC